ATTACGTCCCATGCATCACGATCTGTGGTGAAACGAATCAAATGAACTGCTACAGTATTTTCTTCTTATTTTCTAACTTACGAATAAACTTTTTTTTTTATTATTATTATCCTTTTTTAAAACAAAACTTGAATTCCTGAAAAGAATGTTCTTAAAAATGATCATAAATAACTTCTTAAAGTTAAGATAACCTCCAACCTGTCTTAAATCCACAAAGGTAAGATGTTTAATGAATTTATTGGGTTGTTTCAAATATTAAGCATTACAACATAACCCTAGAGACATACTCTGAAGTGACACCAATGATCGGTCAAGATTATGCGCTTTCTGCTGAATTCGAAAGTCGGTTAGAATTATTCAAAAATAATAATAATAAAATTAATTTTAAAAAAATAGTTACCTTGTTTTAAATTTTTTCATTTAATGCCATACACAGAAAAACGATTGTAGTTATTATGCAGTAATATGCAAGTAGCGCAAAAAAACAAAAAACAAAAAAAGCGTTTGAGTTCAGTGCAAAAACCATCCATACAATCAGATAATAGCAAAGCTTTAAAAAAAATCAAGTAAGATGTTCTTGAGAAAATGTTAATTTGAATATGAAATATAAATAACATTCTTACGAACTTGGAATTCATCCTAAGAAATTTCAGAATTTTTTTTCTTAAGAAGATTTTTTGGAGATTCAACAGTCATGTATTAAAAATAATGGTTACACTTTATTTCGATAGTCCACTTTAGACATTGTTAAAGGCAAGTGTCTTGAGTACTGCCAAACGGATTCAGCTCCCAAATCTTCATTCATTCTGTTGCCCTGCTGAATAATCTCTGAACTTCATTCAGTTTGCAGTGTATCTAATTGAAGGAGGCACTCAGAAAATGTGTAGTATGGCAAACCGCCACATGTTCAAGCTTTGGATTGTACAATAGGCTCAAAATCCCTGGTAACACATTTCCAGAAGACTATGAGACTTGATGCTGATTGAAGAATTGCGTTCAAGTTTGCATGTCTGATTGATTTAATAGGTCAGTAAAGGTTACGTGATGCATTTCTAACTATTCGTCTGTGCAGGGCTGCATCTCACTGAAGGGCAGCCAAGTGAATGAACTGACAGCCAACCCAGAAGAACCCGGCCGACAGCTTTTTGAGATTGTGCCAGGTGAGCAGATCTTCATATCAAATCATCAAATCAATGTCCTGTACTGAAACCAGAATAGACACCGAATAGGCTTTCCAGAATACACTGATTACAGAGGGCTGATTTTGCCCCAACATGATTCGCTGATGCTGACTGTGTGTTTGATTTATTTATGACGAGTAAATAACACACGAGTGTGACACCCGCCAGAGCTTCTTTTTCTAAACAATAAAGCAAAGAAAACTGGAGTCAAATGCCCTTCAAATCCATTCAGTGTTTACAAGATATTAAATTCTCTCTTTTGCACATGATAATCACATTAAAATGGGAAGTATTGAATTTCTTATCTGTGAAAATGCAGCCCTGGTCTGCTCAAGCCAAAGACAGCAATGTGCCTAAAAAGAAGAAAAACAAGAATAAAATCAACCTGTGCAGATCCAGATTACAAATGATATAATTCTTGATGGTAAACATGCATTCTTTTCCTGTAATTAGAGCAATTAACTGAATAGTTTTGCATATAATTAATGTAAATTTCTGATGCATTTTTGTAGATCGATCTAGAATACTTCAATAAAAAAAAAATCAGGATGCATCAGTGAATCAATTTTTCACCCCTAAAGTGCACCATAAATATTTAGATAACTGAATTTGGTGTTAGCCTAAGTAATGCACCAAACACACTAAATAAACAGCCAAACGCACACAGCATAGGACATTAGCAGCAGTTTTCTACACCCAACAGCACTTTCTCATGTCAGATCAGTAAACACAGCATCTCCTCCCCAGAGAAGAGCCCTTAACCACAGTCTCCGACTGACCGGCACGCTTCAGCTCCTTTGAGTCAAACAAGTCCCTTTTCCATGCAAAACAAACAATAACATGACACAAAGCAGATTTCAGAGCTCCCCAATGCTTCTCAACTTTAAAATGAGTGCGGCATTTGTCTGGAGATGCCTGGCCTGTTGTTGATTGAGACTCTGAAAATGAAGAAGTTCCAAAAAACAATGAAGAAATGGAAAGATTTGATTAACAATTGAATCAAGGAAAAACTGGCATTCAGAAAAGTTCAAAGTTCCAAACTGAATACAAATTATGCAAATTGGTGCAGATGTTGATATTCATATGGCCACAAAGATGAAATTCTAGTAGTATGTAATGCGAGATCTTCATAAGACTGCTTTCATAAAATGATATAAATATCAGTTGTCACTACAATATGTCTGAGTATTATGAAATTTAAATGCTTAAATGCACTTAAATGCAATGCAATGCAATGACGATTGAGAGATGAACAAATAAACGTTCCTCAAAAGCCTGATGATCATACTTGAGACTCACTAATTTTTCCAAAAAAAAAATGATGCATCGATAATCAAGTAAACCTACTGTAAGCTGTTTCAGTCCAGTAAGTGTTCATCTTCAAATATTAAAAACAATATAAAAGTAATTCCTATGTTCAGTTTATAAAAACCAGTAAAGAAGATTGTGTACAACAGGAAAATAAAATCCAACAATGGCACCATTCATTGCAGGGACATAAATGGCAAGCGCTGATACAAAAATGGGATCTAAACCAGTGGGAAAAACATGGCATTACTGGGAGATTTTCATGCTTCTGTGTTTTCAAGGCATTAGAGCATAATTGTGACCCGTGTCCTGGCAGCCTCTGGAGCTGCAAACCCATGCTTGCTACACAAAGCTGTGATATTTAGTGAGATTTCTGCTAGTGAGGAGGATTTCCCCAAGCATCAGGTCCTCTGAGATCGATGCATCTGGTGTGCTGTTTGCTTGCTTAAGTGCACTGAGGTGTTTAGAAAGGACTAACAGAGCAGGCCGTCTCCTTCTGTCAGTCTACCGTGAGAAGTCAGTGGGAATGAGAGAAACTGAGCTGAACTGAGATATCAAAAGTATTTTCTACTCGCTGGTTTTCCGGGGATGTACAGTATGGACTAGCGTGATCCAGATTTTATTTATCCTATATCCTCTCTGGGATGATTGAGATGTAAATGACAACTATTGAAGATGTGTTTCTGAAAGCGACGGTTTGAAGCAAACACATCTACAGCATGAATTCTACTTGAGCTGTGTTTGGGTTCATGGCCAATCTGTTGGAGTAAGAGACATGGCAGAACATTAGTACCAGCTCAATCCCTCGGTGCATCATGGGGCAGGGCTGCTGTAAGCCACCGAGGCACAAACCAACCCTAAACCAAGGTAATACCTTTGTTCATGCACTTACATGCAGACATCCAAGTGACAAGGATTTTCTAGAATTTTCTTTCAAATATTGTTACAACGTTGCTGGGGGCAATAAAAAATATACTGTAAATGATGGGTTATGCTTTGTTATTTTTGTACGGAATAGTTTGTTCATAATGCAATTGTTTGTTCAATAATATTTATGCAATGTTAATTTTTATTTTTAATATGGCTAATCAAGATGACGTCTGAGATTGTACATCTACACCCTTCCGCATGTCATTTTCAAGTGTTCAAAATGAGTAAATAATAAAACCAGACATACGTATGATAAATAAGATGAATGAACTTGTTAGTACTTTTGTAACTAGGTATACATATACCTGCAAGCTAAAATAAATAAATAAATAAATGATTAGAATCAGAAGTTGAAATTGTTCAAATCTGATATTAGAATGGAACTACGTGTTGTAGGCAGCAACATTCTTTTAAAATATCACATCTAGGGTAACATAAAAGACAAAAATAAAATAAATACTGTACCAAATTATGATTTAAACAACATAATACAAGTTTTGACAAAAACTAAGTTTATAAAATGATAAACATTGGTCTGAACAAAAACAGCAGACGGGTTGAATAAGCATGCACAGTAGATGGCTCTTATGGAGAAGCAGAAATACAGCAGTTACCCCGTACACAAAGCACTGCGTTTATAAACACTAAGCATTATACGGAGGTAATCACTTGATGAATCACTTGAATGGCCTATTTCAATGTTAGAATGGCGAATTTCGTCGAAAGGCCACGGGTTTGCAGGTACACTGTAAAAAATGACCGTGAATTTAACGGTAAAAGACTGTAAAAATGCTACAGTAAAAACCTGTTAAATGGTTAACGGTAAATTCCCCTACTATATACGGTGAAAAACTGTATTGGACATTACATGTATTGGACATTAATTTTACGGTAGTATACCGTTTTTGGAAGTGAAAAAGACTGTATAATTTACAGTGAATAACTGTAAATTGACATTCCCAGAATTTCAAATTTGATGTTTTTTTTGTTAAAAAACTATGTTTCTTCTTAGTTTTTTTCTTATCCGTTTTGTATATTAGGGTTGTGTGTTACACCTAATGTTGTTAAATGATTGTTTATTGCATTATTTCAGTTTCATGTGTGTTACCACGATGGTGTTTAGTGTTTGTGTGAATAACACTGTGCACCTTCTATATATGTTAATATTTAAAAACTGCTGCTTGTGATGGGCTTTGGTTCATAATGTGACTTTCTCATCACCACCTGCATTTGGTGGTTATCAGTGTATTACAAAGGTACAAAACAGATTTCAGTACTTCAATAGGTTGGTATATTAACATTATATCAATGAATGAAATTACGGTATTTTACTGTAAATTTAAGTTTAAATCGTAAAACCTAAAACGTTGCTACTGTATATATCAGTTAATGAAATTACGGTATTTAACTGTAAATGTAAGTTAAAACCGTAAAACCTGAAACCTTGCTACCGTATTTTTTACAGTAAAATTCCGGCAACCTTAGCTGCCGGTTTTTTACCGTAAATTTTACGGAATTTTTTCTACAGTGTATGCATGCAAAACATTTACTGTTTGATTTGGCAAAAGTAAGTCCTTTGATTATCAATAGCAATCAGATACCAATAATTTAAAAAAAGGCAATATAGTCACCAAAGAAGTGTAATGGCTGTTGATGTTCTCAGTAGGACCTTATACCTCCAGCCTGTTTGTTTTCATGCAGTGTTTGCCTGCTATGTGGCATCTGTCAGTTGATGTTAATAAGGAGCATAATCACTCCTGCTCGTAATATTTCTCCAAAGGTCAATTCGAGATAACCTTCTTCAGTCCTGTGCATAATTAAACAGCACATAATCCAGATCACGTGCAAAGTCCTGGCTTCGATTCCCAGGAACACACATGAATACAAAATGCTGCCAAATTCATGGATAAAACAAATGAAACACAACTGCATGTTGAGCACATAACTGTGTATCTGTCAAAGCCTGCACGCAATCTGTATTCCATGCTTTAATAAACACCAATTGGTTGTTTGAAAAAGGAAAAAGTCCCCAGAATTCACTTAATCAGATCACTGTTGTTCTTTCGCCACAAGCCCTTTTTTTTTTTCTTCCCCACAAGATCGGCAGGCATTCTGACACATCCTAAAGAGACATGAATGCTAACAAAATGCCACACCATGGTGAGAAATGAAGGTTCCTCATTATGCCTTCAAGCCTGAGACGTACTGCTGGCTCTGCTTGTCTTATTTATCTTAATTGCATCAGTACTTGTTTTTTTCTGTTCAGTCGACACTGCTGTGAACACTTATCTTCTCATGACTAATTCCTCTAGTTATTTTATCTGGCCGGCAGAGTATTGGCTGTTCAATGCTTCTGATTTTTTCATTTATCAATGTGAAGCTTTGAACTGAAGCCATTGTGGAGGTTCTTCATTTTTTTTTTTTTTTTATCCTTTGCTGTTGAAATCCCAATGGATAACTGGAAATGTCTTTGTTACTTTGGTCTTTTTAAGTCTGTTTTAAATTAAAGATTTGTGACGTGTTCAACTTCTCATGCCAATGATGGCGAGAGGGACAACAAGTTTGGTACTAAAACCTTGAAGTAATAATGAAATATATCTCAGCATATCAAAATTACCATTAGATTCCACCTAAAAGGTATGCGTTTGTTTCCACCGCAAAATAAAAAAGAATTCAAAGATAATTGTGACTTTTTTTTCTCTCACAATTCTGACTTTTTTCTCCTAATTGCAAGATTAAAAGAATTATGGGATATAAACTCACAATTGTGAGAAAAAAATGTAAAAATCATGAGATACAAAGTTGCATGTTACCTTTTTGATTTTTTTATTCAGCAGCATAAATAAGCTTCCATAAAAAGATGACTGAATGATGTGTAAAACAAAATTGCAACCAGTTAAAGCACCTCAATAAATATATTATTCCAGGCTAAACTCTTTACACCAGCATTATACAATGACTTTTTGTGCAAATAGAATTACATATCTAAATCCATCTTGGTGAAAAATCTGTGCTATTCATTTGATCTAAAAAAGGAACTACAGAAAGCTAGCAGCTCTTGCATCTGTAGCCATTTACTATCTTGACACATAAATTAGTTGCAAGCAATAATAGCAATGTTTAAGAATTTATACATTTAGAATTTATTTCAAATGAAACTCTTCAAGTGAGAAATGTGAAGGACGATATGTATCTCTGAGTAATACAAGAGCAAGTAATTCCATCATCTGACAGATCGCCTCTCTTGTTTTCTGTCTCAGCGGGTGAGAAAGACAAGGCTGCGATGAGCCATGAGTCCTTTCTACTCATGGCCAACTCCCAGAGTGACATGGACGACTGGGTGAAGGCCATCAGACGCGTCATTTGGGCTCCGTTTGGAGGAGGTAAAACCACTAAAATTAAAATACATATGAAGAGTTTGGTTGGAATGCGACTCATCTGCGATTGTGAACGTGATATTGCGTAGCTTGTCAGTGATCTACGGCTCTGCGTATTAAATGCCGCTCCATCTGAAAGCACGTAATGGAGATTTACTACTAATCACAGAACCAGCTTTACTGACGAGATGCGCATGACAATCGCATGCGATTTATCGTGCAGCCCTAAGTTTGTTTGTTGATCACAAATTACAAAGTAGATGAGGAAAACTAGGATGCCGGGTGTATTCAAAGCGCCGCCATTACTGTTTACAGTGCGTGGAATGGTGCGCTGTGATTGGTTGTTACTGTTTACAGTGAGTGGAATGGTGCGCTGTGATTGGTTGTTACTGTTTATAGTGAGTGGAATGGTGCGCTGTGATTGGTTGAACGGATATATCGCATTCTGCAGAGAAGGGAGACTGGCGTTTGTAACGGTTTGGAAAGAAAGGGAGAAAACATTGCAGAATAACTCGGCGGATATCGCATTTTACGTAAAGTTAAAAATTGACTTTTCAATACCGACCAGATACAATACTGATTTTGGCGGAAACTAAATTTTTTTTCAAATGCCGTTTATCGCGTTTTGGAACCAAACTCTTCATATACTGTTACATAGTTAGTTGGATGTTTCATGTATGCTCACATGATATCACCAGTGTTGTCAGTGGTCTACGCTCACAAAAATACCACTGAGCAGAGTACACGCCTCACTATCCAGATTAAATTACAAAGTCATGTTATTGATAGAAAGTTCAAACAAGTAATGTAAAGCAAGTTATCAGCTCTCAGTATAGACAATGTGGCAATGTGTCTCCACTTCCATTAGCAGCTAGAACCGTAAAAGCCGTTGACATTTTTTGTGCAATGGAAAGAGTCCATGAATGTTCTTCACGGAACCATAGATGTCAACAGAGAACAATTATTTTTAAGAATGTAGAGTAAATATCACGGCAAATCACTGTGGTAATGATCAAAATCCAATAGTATTATCACTGTACCGTACATTTGTTTTGTAAGGAGTGATGTGTGTTTTGACTGATATAAGCTAAAAATGATCTCTACAGGCATATTTGGCCAGCGTTTGGAGGACACTGTACAATACGAAAGGAAGTTTGGTCCTCGTCTCGCCCCTCTCTTAGTGGAGCAGTGTGTGGATTTCATCAGGGAGCAGGGTCTTGATGAAGAAGGCTTGTTCCGGATGCCAGGACAAGCCAACCTCGTGAAGGAGCTTCAGGAGGCCTTTGACTGTGGAGATAAACCTCAGTTTGACAGGTACACAACTACTCTGAGCACAGACATGGAACACTAAACCGTTACCAACTGTTCATACTAACCATATAATTGGCATTTCTAGTAACACTGATGTCCACACTGTGGCTTCCCTGCTGAAGCTGTATCTCAGGGAGCTCCCCGAACCCGTCGTTCCCTTCTGCAAGTATGAGGACTTTCTCAATTGTGCTCAGCTCCTGGCCAAAGATGAGGAGGGCTTCAGGCCTTTCCTTCTCTTCACTCACCGAAAATGCTTGGAGGTCCCCGACCCTCTTGATGGAAGTGAGCGCAGTCAGGAGCGCTGTCTTAGCAGACAGGATTTTAAGCTCGACTGAAGGAGGATTCAACCTTCTGGCTCCCCTCAGGAACCTGACAATAAGATCATGCTTTCCCAGGGACCGGCCGTCCATTGTGCTGCGATAGCAGCCACATACACTTTTCAAGGTGGAGGGTGACAGCCTACGCTCCAACCTTTCTTGCAGGAAAGAAAGCACTACTCTAATTGTGCATCTTCGGGGGTCTTCTCGGCGAGAAGAACAACAGTTCGCGAACAGACTCCACTTCAGTGCATTAGCATGACTTGTAGAGGGAGCTCTAGCCTGAGTGACGGTGTCCACCACGCCCGGTGGCAGATCGTTTAAGTCGCATCCCGTCCAGGAGCCACACGTGGAGGTTCCAAAGATCCAAGATGCAAGGGTGCCATAGGGTACCGAGCCCCTGAGAAAGGAGGTCCTTCCTCAGAGGGATGTGTCAGGGAGGGGCTGTCGCAAGGAGCATTAGTTTCAAAATCCAGGTCCAGGTGGGCCTGTAAGGCGCAACCAGCAATACCTGTTCCTCGTCCTCCCTGACCTTGCACTGTATCTGTGTGAGAAGGCTCACTGGGGGAAACGCATACTTGCATAGAGCCCGAGGTCAGCTGTGTGCCAGTGCGTCCATGCCGAAGGGGGCCTCAGTCAGGGAGTAATACAGTTGGCAGTGGGAGGACTCGTGGGAAGCAATCAGGTCTACCTGGGCTTCCCCGAATCGACTCCAGATCAGCTGGATGGTCTAGGGGTGGAGACAACATTCTCCGGGGAATGTGAGCTGTCGTGAGAGCACGTCGGCTGCACGATTGAGCCCCCTGGAATGTGGATGGCACACAGCAACTTGAGCCGCGTCTGACTCCAGAGAAGGAAAAGGCGGGTGAGACATGCGACATGATCGTAGACCTCCCTGTCGGTTGATGTACAAAACAGTCGCAGTGTTGTCCGTGCGTACCAACACGTGCTTGTCATGAAGCAGTGGCCCAAAATGCCACAAGACTACAAGCACTGCCAACAGCTCGAGGCAGTTGATGTGCCAAAGCAGTCGAGGCCCTGTCCAGAGCCCCAAGGCTGCCTGCCCGCTGTCATATTTACAGAGTCTAACTCCAAGTGGAGGCGTTTTGCAGGCACAGGTGCACCGCAACCGCTCTCTCCACCTGGGGAATGTC